AAAAAAAAAAAAAAAAATTCTGCCTCTTTGGTAGCAATCCAATAACTTTTGGACAATACATACATAGGCTCATTTGCTTTGAATCATAAGAACAGAAAGTCTATACATACACCAATTAATTCCTCAGATCAGATATATGATCTAGCCTCAAAGAAACCCTCAATAATTGCTATTGTAGAAACCTTAATCCCCAATGTGACAGTATTTAGAGATGAGGCCTTTGGGAGGCCTTAGATTAGGCTAAGATTAAGTAATGAGGGTCTCCCATCATAGAGTTAGTTCCCTTATAAGGCAACTAAGGAACCAGAGCCTGTTTTCTCTGAATTGTGAGGATACATGAAGAAAGCAGTCTATGAACCAGGAGGAAGACTCTTACAAAAAATCCAGCCCTGCTGGCATTCTGATCTCATCCAGCTGCCAGAATTGTGAGAAATAAATGTTTGTTCTTTAAGCCACCCAGTCTATGATTTTCTGTTACAGCAGCCCAAGGTGACTAAGACAATAATACTAATTTTGCAACAAACTGGACTCTTAAATAATCTTTTACCTAAATTTTTGAAAATATCTTTAGGTAGACATTCTTCATGATGTCTATTTGATAAGAAGTTTTATAACTAGATAAAAGCAAGGCAATCATATCTCTTGGCATAATTTTAAATAAGTCTTCAGATCACATTGACATATATATCACATTGATAACTTTATTGCTATTCATCTATAAAATAATGCTATTGAAATACTGAAAATATACAATTTTAGTTTTGCATGAGTAGAGATAAACATACACCACTACTTTCTGAACAATCGTCAAAGCATCTAGAGACAACAGACCTTTGCCTATAGCCACGAATCAGAGTTGTTCTCTCTGTGAAGTTAAGAAAAGTTGACTTTTTATCTGAAAGATAATAGCTTCTCTATCGCCGTATCACAGGTGCCGGAGTCAGAGAGCCTTTGTTTAAACCCCAGCCTTACAATTTACAACATAAAGTTGTGGAAATTATTTAGCTTCCCAATGGCTCAGTATGCTCCATTTTAAAAAGATTAATAATGGTACCCATATCAGAAAGCCTTTGTGAAGACTAAACAAAGTAATTTCCATTCAATAAAAATTGAAGAATCTGACAAACAGTACATGCTTAATTAATGGTGACGGTTATTAATACTATTATCTATTCATGTTTGATTACAGTCCTACCTACCACCTAATTTCAGCCTCAGTACAAAGGCCCTTTTTGAGAATAGCAAATACACATTTTATTTGATGATTTTATTTGATGATGCTCCTTGCCTATGATTTAATTATGACCTGAGCACACAAATGTGAATCACGGACCCAAGCTAGACATAATATTTTGGATAGACAAACATCTTTGGTGCAGAAAACTAGATCATAACTTTCTATAGACTGAAATAATTGTTTGTAACAAACTACGCATATGCAAAAGGTACTTGAGAATGCACATAGAAATGGAATTTCTGGGTTGTAAGTTTTTCAAATATTCAACTTTAACACATGATGCAAAATTGTCTTTTTCTAAGTGGCTATATAAATGTTTTGCTTCCACCATCAGTTTAACATCCTATTGATCCATATCCTTTCTAACACTTGGTTTTATCTGACTTTGTTTTTGTCAATTGCAGAGGTATAAATTGGTATCTCACTGTGGTCTTGATAAACATTTCTCTAATTGCTAATAAGGTAAGCATCTCCTTTTATCCATTTTTCTATTAGGTAGTTTGTCTTTCTCACTGATTTGTAGTTCTTTATGTATTTTGAATGCTAGCCCTTTGTTAGTTATATGCGTAGCAAAAGTCTTCTAGTTTCTAAGAGCTTGCCTTTTCATTTTCTTTCCTTAAGCTATAATTGATGAAAAGGCATTCTTAATTTTAATGTAATAGGTTTTATTAATATTTTCTTTCATGGTTAA